TGTCGTGGATAACGACTTTTAGTTGTCGTGGATAACGACTTTTAGTAATATTAAGACGGTGGTTTTGATTATTATTTTAAATGATGAGATGTTGTTTTGATAAATATCACAAAATGAAGGGTAGACTACGTAACGCCACAGTATAAAATGGCGGTACGTGGACAGAGTCGTGGCATTCCGTGTCAGACAGTCATTCCGTCCGTCTCAGTCAGTCGGTCTGTCGGTATATGCAACGAAACTGTCGGTTTATCCTGTCATTGTGAAAGTTGTGTGTGTTGAGTTTCAATAATTATTGTTGAAAAGTTTTATTGACTAAACTGAGTTCAATCGACTACGAGTGCTCAGCCATCCCTGACGTGAGCCGACATATATATATTTATTTTGCGTAATCACTGGTGGTAGGACCTCCTGGGAGTCCGCACGGGTAGGTACCACCACCCTGCCTATTTCCACCATGAAGCAGTAATGCGTTTCGGTTCGAAGGGTGAGGTAGCCGTTGTAACTATACTGAGACCTTAGAACTTATATCTCGAGGTGGGTGGCACGCTTACGTTGTAGATGTCTATGGACTCCAGTAACCACTTAACACCAGGTGGGCTGTGAGCTCGTCCATCCATCTAAGCAATAAATAAAAAATCGAGCATAAAATAATTTCATACAACTTATCATCATAATACATGAAATCCTAACAAACAAAATATAAACTTTAAGATGTAGTGATTCGATTTAAAAAAAAACTCACTACCTTCAAATATTCAAGAAACATAAAATTGCCGGTATGACGATCAGTATTTTCACAGTTACTTTAAGCAACAAAAGTTTAACATTAATCAAAGTTCGCGACATTCAGAAACCTCAAAGTTATATCCGACAACAACGCCATTCGAACAATCGAGTGTGGCGTCTCCCGAACAACCAAAACAAGCACAACTTGTGCATACAAATCTGCTCGAATATGAAATCAGACTGCAGCTCGACGGGCGAGCATGAAATAATCGTGGTAACACAATTAAGCTCTAATCACCTAATCCTTGCCGCGCTGCTCCATTGCTTATACAAGCCTGAGTGACAATCGCGCGCACAATTAGCGCAAATGAGCCGAAGTGAAAATCTGGCGGGTGGCGGTAATGTGATTAATTCGGCCGCTAGTCCCCTATTAGTCGGTGAACCACGGGGTCTAAAACTGACGATCTATTCTTAGATAATATTCACTATAATATGTTATTCATATAACTTACTAGCTGACCCGGCAACTTCGTAGTGGCTCAATCGATAAATAAAAGACCTAAACTTTTGTATAAAATAAACTTAAAACAAAAAAAAGCGAAAACAATTTTATTTTTTTAATTTAAATCCGAGCAATTTTATATTTATCTATATTTTAAACCTTCTCTGGACTTCCACAAATAATTCAAGACCAAAATTAGCCAAATCGGTCCAGCGGTTCTCGAGGTTTAGCGAGACACGAAAAGCATTTCATTTATATATATATATAGTGTAACTTATTACACAAATCAAGTATATTTATGGGAATATACAGCTCAACTAGGCAACGGCCAATATTCTACTTTATAAGTTTAATCCACTGACGACGTAAAAGGCTTCGACAAAAGAAATCTCTTGAAAAAGACTAATCTTTAATTGCAGGACTTCTCGTATAATTTTATTAAATTACGACAGTAATATTAATCATTGTTACCGTAAAACGTATGGATTCTAAGTGTATTGAATTCAAAACATTAAAAAGGGACAGAATGTGTGAAGAGATGCAGGAAATGCATAAAAAACATCACGTATGCGGAAAACAAAAATCAATAAATAAAAGAAAAACAAAGACGTGCTACAATAAAACACTTATGTTAAATTCTAAAACGCAACGTTATTTTATATAAACTCCAGAACAGTTCTTTTATGGCTGAAAAATCTATAATTCTATCTCTATGATTAGTAATAGCTTTGTACGAGCGACTTGTAAAAGTATTTTCCAAGGTAGAGGAGCTTTGGGAATTTTTAAGTATCTAAATTTATTTCATATTTTTATAAGAAACCCGACTACACAACCTTAAATCGGTTGTAAACGTTTTTTGAGTAAACTAAACAAAATGAAGCAATTCGTGAAAATCTGTAAAATAATTAAAAATATGTAGGTATGTAGTGCGTAGGTACCTAAATAAATTAATTAATTTCATTGTTCCAATTTAGTTACTGTTTCTTACTTTGTTGCTATAGCTATATATGTGCATACATATTTATATTTTTGTAATGTTCCATTTTTGAACAGTGATATTTATAAAAAAGCAGTATAAAAATTGAATTAAAAATAATGTGTAGCCGACATGTGGTTTCTAAATTTAAAATCCACTAATTCTAACAGTCGCGCTTATTCTGACGAAAGCAGCCTTGTTGTTTGCGCCCACGCAAACATTGTGAACTGAAATAACGCAATCGGCTCCTCCCATTGGTCCGAGAGTCTGAATCATTCAGCTATAATTCCAACGATCGTTGTAACATCGGAAATAATCGCGAGACTTATAATGGCATTCGACAAATAAATAAAAAATGCATATAAATTTTTTTTTTGTAAAAGATTTTTGCAGAATTTATGCTATTTATTCATTTCGTGATATTACGAATTGTAACTACATATGTTGCATTAAAAGAGTTAGGATATTGCTTCACGATAAATGTCGAGTTATAAAAACTGTACGACCTTTTGTTAGTTAGAAACAAGAGTGACCATGATGTGCCACTAATTTCGTTCACTAATACATTTATGCAAGCTGATGAATAAAATCTTAACAATTACTCGTAGGTACATTTTTAATCTTGGCAAGTCTTTTGAAATCGTAGTCACCATTATTTAAATAGCAGCTCTTGTCGCTGAAAATTAAGAGGAGATAATATTAAAGTCATCAATTATAAGCTTGTCAGCAATTAGCGCTGCAAAGGTCGAGATTGTACTGATGAAAAACAAATTCATGGTTCACGTCGTAAGAAAACGCCCGTTTTTCTCTAAGTATATAACGTTGTCCTTGTCAACAAAAGTACATTTCTGTCGTTAATTCGATTAGAAATACTAAAAATTTTGTAAATAGCTTACATCGTTTGTGTTTTTATATGAAGTTGTACTGTTATAACTATAATTTTTATCACAGCTCCATTAAAATTATTATCATTGTTTTAAGCCACAAAAATTCAATGATAGTAAATGTCTAATAACTGCTTTGAATGTCGTCACGCTTTCGTTTTTGGACCGTAAAGGTTTTGATCGCCCTACTGCTAATGAGATAGGACTCACAAGATAGTATGACGTTAAGTTACCTGCAGATGTGATAGGTTTCAAGTCTGGTGGTGAAAGGTGCGGCAGTGCGTGATGGGCGGGTTGCGGGACAGGGGCGGAAGGGGCTGGGTGCGGTGATGGCGCCGGTGACGAGGGTTTGTCTCTCTTGCCCTCTGCCTTCACTGGAGCCTCACCCGCCTTCTGCTGAGCCAGTCTTTCTTGCTTACGAAACTTTGCACGCCGATTTTGAAACCACACCTGAAATACAAGCGCTTTAGTTACCTTCCTAATTGAGTTAGCCTTGCATACGCTGTCATGTCAACGTTTGGAGATGAGATTAATGTACATACATATATAATAGTATGCATGTTTAGACTCGTGGTCAGTGTACAAAGATTATGAGTGAATATCAGATGGATATGATATTATTATGTATATCGCATCACCGGGCGTAATTATTTTAGGTCCAGATAACTTTATTAAATTTAAAAAATAACAATAAACAGAAAAAGTTGGAACCTCATCAACGACAATTTGAAGCTTAACTACCCTGTTATCATTAGGTGAGGTTTTTTTTTATGTAAAGATAAAACCAGCATATAACGTATCACGTAGGTATAAAACGTACAATCCATCAGAACGACAACGGTAAAGCAACTTAAACAAAACTGAGCACGACAGAAACAAAAAAAACATAATGAAAACGTCAAAAGCGAACGTGGACCCGATAAGCAAACAAAGTTAGCGTCCGACCCGCCTAATGGGAACGCATCCCGTGCATCGCGCGCCAATTTTAATGCAAACCGTTTTATATTCGTTCCGATGCGCGCAAATCCGAATTGATCATAATTCGATTTGGCGCTACAGATAATTGCAACTGCCACTGGCGCTGATTGGGCAATGTCACGAATAAAAAAGGTTCGTTCATTGATGCGCACCGATTTTCTCCGTACTGACTGGTCTCACAAAGGCACGCACGTACTTTTACGACTGTATGTATTCATTATGTCAATATATATAGAGAACTTTTTTGAACACATTCAACGTATCAAATCAATAATAAATTTAAGTAAGCATTTCAGTTAACAGTATAAAAAAAAATCGCTGAAAACTGAGAAACACATGAGAACGTCTAGAATGTTTACGGTCTGTACATTAATAATAATTAGTAACATGAACGCCCACGTATCTCTATGAATATTTTCCTTGGCAATGATCAAGACCGACGTTAATGACCTGATAACATTCTAGAAACAAATCGAAACTTTATTATCTAGTTGTGAGATAAGTGTTATGATGAATTAACATCCCACGAATACATCACATAACATTGTCATTAAATCAAAGAAGTGTTTCCGCGTTATTTCCTCACTATTATAATTGATATTCAGACACACCTGACAGTGATCAAGTCCAAACTTGACATTGAAACAAAAGATCTATGGATGCCACTTTTGGCTACGTGTAGGTTGTTTAGCATCGTAAGTCAGTGCAGGGCACAGCTGCACATTGGCATTGGCATTGGCTGGAACATCCGGGATATAAATTCGTGATCAATTTGACAACTACCATACATTAAATAATAAATAATATAGATTTATTTCATGTGACATCACTGCAAGCAAATCAAGATGCCAAATACGAACTTAAGTAGATTTTATGCTAATAAGTAATTCTTATCTTCCTAGGTGAGTGATTTTACGTGTTATCTATCAGCTCGAATATAAACATTATTTCATCATTAGCTAATCACATCAAGGCACCAATAATCACAATACAGTGATAGAGATAATGATAATCCCTGTTCATTTGCCCACTGAGTTTCTCGCCGGGTCTTCTCAGTGGGTCGCGTTTCCGATCCGATGGTAGATTCTGCGAAACACTGCTCTTGCTAAGGCCAGTGTTAGCAACACTTCCGGTTTAAGCTCCGAGAGCTCACCTAGACGCTAGGATAAAGCTGAAATAGCCTCACAAGGCTATCAGCATAATAGGTAGGAAAAAACCTATTCACTTAAAAAATCATACAAATTCATATTATTTTTTACAAATAAACGAATATTTGATAACCGAAGCTTTAAATACTAATATTGCCTAGTCGCTACGTCAATATATTGTACCTAATCTTATTTTTCTCGTTCCGTGATTTCTGAGATTGAAAGTTAAAATCTACTCATTTATTTCAGCTGAAAAATTGTGTTTGATCTATAAACGAACTCTGAAACGACTGAAATTCATCGTTTTATTGTATGTAACAGGAAATCTGCGCCTTCGAGTGGAAAGGTCCCGCGAACATACGTGCCCGGGTTAGACAAGCGCCGGGGCACGCCGGCGTCGACTAACGAACACACGGCCCGCTTGATTGGAGTTAGCGAGGTACTCCGATCGCCCGAGGCACACAGCCTTCCGCATTATTTCCGAATCGAAAAAAATCAAAGCTCCCACAACATACGCGGCATCCGCAAACAAACAAATAATACAAATTCCGCCGCCAATACAAATGAGTACCGATACGACGGCGAGCGGAATGCGAAGTCGAAGTGTAGTCGAGCAAGGGCCCGAAGCAAATAAACGTCCGCCGATGTGTTTGTAGGAATTTGTTACGATGTTTATCTAATGCTGCGCGTGTTTCTTACGTAAACAGAAGCCTGAAATTTTCTTGAAATCGGAGTTTTAGTCCGTAATAGTCCGAAAAGTAAATCGTTAGAAAGTTGCTAAATAACAGAGTGCAAAATTACACGGGTAACATTATTACAATACAAAAAGCTATTACGGCATATTCAAATTACATTTAGAAGCACTTAGACTTTATGATTCGTTCATTAAGACCCAGCAAAAGAAGGAGAGGCCGTCCAAGGAATAGATGGATCGACGAAATAATAGCAAGAGCAGGAAAAGAATGCAGATGGAAGGCAAGGTATAGGAAAAGTGGAGTGAGCTGGAGGAGGCCTATACCTGGGGGTGGTTCCAACAACATAATAAGTTTGTGATTTTAAGAAAAACCTGTTTGTAACCTGTTGTTGGCTTATTATTATTTCAATAAGACCCAGTAAAAAAGCTATTCAATAAACAAAACAAGAGACTATTATAAGTGCGTATATGTTTTATTTTATTGCTTAAGTGGATGGACGAGCTCATAGCCCACCTGGTGTTAAGTGGTTACCGGAGCCCGTAGACACCTACGACGTAAATGCCGCCACCTACCTCGAGACATAAGTTCTAAAGTTTTAGTTTTTAAAGTACCACGGCCGCCCCACCCTTCAAACCTCAAAGCGTTACTGCTTCACGGCAGAAGTAGGCAGGGTCATGGTACCTACCCTTGCCGACTCACAAGACGTCTTACCACCAGTAAATGTACGTACAGAATGGTGGCAATATGTTTATTCCTACCACGAAGCAGTCATGCGTTGTAGTTTGACAAATAAGGTGCCCATAAACAATACAATTAAGACATATTCCTCTTTTCTCAATGTGCATGACAGCATTTATATTGTGATGAGTATGGGTTCAAGTAACCACTTCAAACGAAATGAACGATGAAGTCGTTAACCTACCTCTGTAATAAATTTAAAAAAAGTTTTTTTAAAGGAATTATATGCTATGAAAGTACAATATTGAAGAATATGTACGTATTAAGATACATACATACATATATCCTATTCGTTAAAATGGCCAATGCAAATCATGTTTGACTTCTGTCCTCCGTGTAAACATTTTGAACGCATTAATAAAATATACGATAAATAATGAGCAAGCAATTAAGCCAGTTCGGAACAATCGAGCGTAGCATCAAAATGCACTCTGCAAATGAATGAACCGAATCGTACGAGGGCAGCCTGTGCGGTGCACCCGATACAATGTAGCGTAATGACACAAACGTCAAACTGTGCAGATGCCATCTTATCATAATCGATTACGGCGAACGAGGTTAATTAAATTAAGAATGTTTTGACAATAATGAGCAGTAAACTTAGGATCTTTTTGGAGTATATCAAACTGAAAAAAAAATTAAGAAAAAATATGAATTTTAATCGAATAATACAGGAAAATCTTTATTGTTGAATATGTAAATTGATTACCGATATCCTATTAATTATTTTTATTAAGTGTAGATTTATGTTGATTATATTTGATTTATATTAATATTCTCAAAAAAAAAAATCTATAGTATCTATATATATATATATATATAAATGAATTGCTGTTCGTTAGTCTCGCTAAAACTCGAGAACGGCTGGACTGATTTGGCTACTTTTGGTCTTGAATTATTTGTGGAAGTCCAGAGAAAGTTTAAAAGGTAGATAAATATGAAAATGCTCGGAATTGAATAAAAATAACAATTTTGTTTTCCCTTTGATGTGTACCCCGTCGGACGGATTCATTTTGTTTGTTTTAAGTTTATTTTATACAAACGTTTAGGTATTTTATTTATCGATTGAGGCATTACGAAGTCTACCGGATCAGTTAGTATAAAATAAAAATAATAATAGGTGCACTGGATTAAATGTATATGTTTATTTTTACAAAACTTTATTGTTGTTTGAACAAGTGAACCGCACAGTTCTGCAAGCTAGCAAAGGGTAGTTTAATACAGTATGAACTGCAAACAGAGGCCAGCGACAATGGTTTAGTATTAAAATAAACAAGCTCGTGCGTTGCCATGTGGCGCGCTGTGGCGAGCAAACATCAAATAAGCTAATGCATTCAGGAGGGTCGACACTTCGACCAATCTCGACTCTTCGCAAACCTGTGTGTCTCGGCTTCAACTGCAACAGGCGCAACGGTAACTGTATCAATCATAATCTATATGTTTGCAAATAATATGTTTGCAAAGTTTTATTAATACGCTTTAATAGCTTCAGACGTATGTATATATGTTAGTATGTAACGGAATCTTTGAACATGATTTTGACCCTCTTCAAAACGTCGGATTAACTCGAAATTTGGTATACTTATTAAGGACCGACGACAATTCAATATTTAAAAAAAATGTAGAAAAAAATTAAAAAAATTGTGATTCAACTAAGAAATGAAAAATAAATAATAGTTAAAAAAACTAACAAAAATTAATTAACAAAAACTAATAGAAAATAAATTTTAATAAATTTGAATTAAAAATAGTGTAAGAAAAAATGATTTTATTCTAAAAAAGCGTGGGGTGCATGGTATCAGTAGTTATAAATATTTTATGAACAGATATGAGTAGAAGGGTTATTTTGATAATATCCTGAAAAGCACCCCACGCTTTTTTACAATAAAAT